CCTTGGCCGTATTGTGAATGACTTTACTACTAAGATTAGATTTTGGCGCGCAGAGAAAGCAGAAAGCTACGTAGGCGAAAGCGCCAGTTGCTCGACATACCTGCGTGGCCCGTGCGACGAAATAACTTCACGGGATTGGCAAAGTTTCAGTCACGGAAAATTATGCAAAAAATCTAGAAAGATTTAAGTTTAAATCTCGTTTATCGTTTAAAGCGACATATCAATGACTGCAACCATCGTGTGGTATACAAACCTCGCAAACTTTAAAACACGTTCTCTAGTGATACCTGCGAAAGTATTCAGTATAATTTCCGGTAAGATTTTCGCGGACAATCTGATCGATTTCTCTTACGTTGTGTGCCGAGACTGAAACTTTTCACCTCAAGCAAATCTCTGTCGCACGGTCCAAACAAACATGGCGAGCAACTGCGCTACAAGTATATGTCCGTGTTAAAACACACGAAAGGACTCTAAAGCACACTTCACTCTGATTGGGCAGAAAAACACAAAGATTTTCTGGCACCAATCAGAGGGCAGAACGACTGCGACCGTTTGGAACTAGTCTTGTAAGACAATGTCCCCAGGGGCTCTTCATGCCCTAACTTGAAATCCACTCAGCCCCTGGGTCTCCGAGGATGCATGAATTCGGGCCAGACTTAAAATAAGCGTGTTTTGCAAAATTCGTCGAAAAACCTATACTTCAAAGGGATATATCAAGTTTTATCTGTGAGCTAAGTGTAATTATGCTTTCAATCGAACAGATAGGTCAAATAAAAATATCAATATGCCTAGTAAATACAAACAAAATTATGATCGTCCCTTGTTCCTGATGACTTCTTTCTTTTTTTCAAAAAAAGATGTGTCTCAGGTGCAAAGAAGAGTTTGCAATCTTTAAAGAGTGACTACATCTTCAGCAAAATTTGCGTTCTTAACTTTCCAATTGGAGTAAGGCGCAAAGTTTTTTAGTGCTTTATTTGCATACAGTGTAGATATCTTGCCAACAAATCAAGTTGTTCCTTTTTAGTCGTTTTACAGGAGAGACCGACATGGCAGAAGAAATGGAACGATTGGAGAACATCGGCGGGTATTGGGGTATGCTCCTTTTAACGTATTAGTTTTTAGGCCGCTTAGCTTCCGGACCAATTGTTATTGTTGATGTTTCCTTCTACAGGAAGTACTTGTCCTCAATTGGACGTTTGCTGCGCGAAAAAAGTTTCTCTTCCTAGGATTTAATTGTCTCGAACGTGAGATTTTGAAAAACCCATATCAAAGCCTTCAAAAAATGCTACGCATTTGCTTTAAAAAGAAAAAAAAGAGAATGACGAAACATAACATTGATTGAAGAGAGTCTTTAGTTTTCCTGGTGTGACTTTTTAAACCTTGTGACGACTACAAATACATAACTGCGACTTAATTTTCATGTTCTTAATTGGTTTCAATGTTTTAAGAAGGATATCCGTGAAAAATCAAACAAAAATGAAATTTTTGTGGCAAGGCTTAAAAATCCAAATTGTCACTATTTTTGCACACAAGAATTCCCTAGGGAGACAAGAAACGCTGTGCTTTTTTTTCTCTCAAATATGTTTTCATTTTCGAGAAAAATGAACTTTTCCCTTTTACCCTCCGGTATCGATGGATCGGGTCATAACAGGTCGAAAATTGAACACTTTCGCTCGCTTTGTGTTTCAAAGAGATAGCGTCTAGGGAAATCTAACCAACGTGTGCTCTTTCAAAGACTATTCCCCTTCTGTAGAATCCAAGTTTTATAAGAATTTAAGCAACATAAAGAAACAAAGTGCTCTCTTTAGTTATAAAAAAAATGTTGGTGAAAATAACCCTTTGTCACCATGTGCCATATTTCTGAATTCCATCAATCCACGTGTGTAAGTTTCCGAAGAAATGACCTTCAAAATGACGTAAAATTTTTGTTTGGGCAAATATTTTGGGAAACTCTTCAAACTATCACACTGAAATCATAAAATCTCGCAGTATGTTGTTTGCGTGACCAAAAAGCTAACAAGCGTTCAGCCTTCGAAACAACTGTATCGAGTAGGAGGACTTCTCAGAGTTAAATAACATAGATATACCTACTTTCGTTAGATCACATTATCTTTAGTTCTTCAAAATTTGTGTTTGCAGAGATATTCTGCCATCGTTCTGTCTAGTACGAATATGCATGGCTAGGAAGAAACAGGATACGATTAAGAACGTTATTGGTCTCTTGCATACGCATCTTTTAAGATGCTTAAAAGCTTCTGTTCCTTGTTTAACTTGCAATATGCTCTTACCCTTACCTTTTTAACTAGAATACAGTTCACAAAAACTCACAAGTTTTCTTATATTGAGAGGCCCTTGCAGGAGTGAGGGCTTGCATGACTTAATTTGCATATTGACAGTACAAGTCCTTGCGTTTGTGTGAGAATATTTTGGACCTATGAGTGGGGTCGTTCGACATTATTAATAGGCACAAGTACGTAGAGAGAAAATGAATAGATATCCATTGAACTCGGATTTTTCCTTTATTTGTACCCATGTTTAATTCATCTGCTTAAGTGAAATAATTGGTGTTACTGAGGGCCTGTAGCTGTTTACATGGAGCTGGAGACCCCAGGTAAGCGAGGTAACCCGCCAGTCCATACCACCTCTTATGTTATCTTGATCACATTTACTTGATAGGTGTGTTAACCAGCGTGAGCCGGTTGCCCGGGTCGCGAGCGTGCCAACAATCTCACCCAGAGATCTCAGGGTTGTAAGATTGTACGTAAAGGCGGACTATTTTTCGAACACAGCTAGGTGGTGACCTCACCCACCTAGAGTTCCCCACCTTCATGTAGACATGCCTTTAAAAAGACGGATCAGTAGACTGCAGAACCTCCAGTACCTGCGGAACCCATTTTTTTTACAATAACGTAAAGATTAACGATTTAATTTTGTTTCGGGTATAAAAAAAAAGATTAAGGCCCTATGTGCCACGAGGCATGAAAAGGATTGATGATGATGATAAAAAAAGATTACGTTGAAAGAGAAATATGTTTTTAACATCTTTGATATCCATTCAGAAATAACTGACTTTAACTGAGGCGACATGAACAGCACAATTCTATGCGATGCTAGAGGGAGCAATTGGCCGTCACCTACCCCGAATGAAGGTACTTTGATTCAAAATGTGAGTGCTCAAATGTTCTGGGTACTGTGATATCTGAATAATTCCTCTTCAGAACGCTCTCATCCAACCTTTTGGTTGCAATTGGCGGCCTTTAATTCCATTTCATTTTACATGATATTTGAATGAGGAACACTAGAGTGAAGTAGCATCATCGTCCAGGCTGTATGGAATTCGGGGTGACCTGGATGCCCACTGCGAATTTACAGCGTTTTGCTTCCAGTGGATTTGTTCGGTAAGCTTTCCTAACTCTCCAACTACCAGAGTTTGCAAACACAAATTTGAATGACTAAAGACAATGTGATATAACAAAAAAAGGTATATTCATGTTATTAACTCTGAAGAAGCTCTCCTTTTCAACCCGGATTTACAGCGTTTTGCTTCCAGTGGATTCGTTCGGTAAGCGTTCCTAACTCTCCAATTACCACAGTGTCTGTTCACTTATAATAATGATGATAATAATAATAATAATAATAATAATAATACCTTTATTTAGACATGATAATGTTTAAAGCTGAACAGCTTGTGGGGTCGTGTGTAAATGGAAATAAACTCTAAATGAAATAAATTCAAATGATGGTGATAATAATAATAATAATAATAATAATAATAGTAATAATAATAAAAATAATATTTATATAGCGCGCACATCAAAAGCTTCTCGTGGCGCTTTACAATACTATAAAATAATAAAATAACCTAATGCACAGAGATAAAATAAAATCTATCTCTTATCTTTTATAAGCGAGCTAATTAAATTTGCTAAACGTATTTGACCGAGAAAGAGCTATCATAGTTTGTAAAATTGTCACTATTTTTTTTTGTCACTAATTCACCATTTCGGCGATGAAGACTTCGTCTTTAATTTTGAACAGACTTCAACTTGCTTGTTCGGGTAAAATCATATCAGCAGTACTGTACAAAATAATTCAGAACTGACATCAGCTACTCTACCAGCATGCCGAGCTACCAGATAGCGCTGCAGGGTCCATCGTATCAAAATATTGTCACTCATTCCCCGTCTCCGTAACAGAGATTAGATTACGACTTCTTCCTCCTAATGGTGATCCGTGAAGTGTCGAGTCCGAAAGAAGTGAAAATATCAAAGTTTGAAAGCTTAGATTCGACGTAAATGACGTCGACCCATCCAACCGCCATTATGCAAATTAGGTCATGCAAGCCCTCACTGAACTCCTACAAGGCCTCTCTGGGAAAATATTAAGGCTTTTCGTTTACCAAATGCTAGTGTCGGCTAGTTAAACAAGTACCTGTAGCTGAAGCTGAAGATGCGTTTACAAGAGACCAGGGGAGTTCTTTACTCCTCCGGTTCATATTCGTACTTGACAGAACGATGGCAGAGTATCTTTGCAAACACAAATTTGAATGACTAAAGACAATGTGATATAACAAAAAAGGTATATTCATGTTATTAACTCTGAAGAAGCTCTCCTTTTGAACCCGAAGTTATTTCAATGGCAGAATGCTCCTTAGCACTTTGGTCGCGCAATGAACATACTGAGTAATTGTATATCTTCAGTGTCATATTTCAAAGAGTCTTCCACGTTGCGAAAAAACATTTGCCCAACTAAATTTTACGTCATTTTGAAGGTCGTTTCTTCGGAAAGTTACATACGGGGTTACCATGGGGATTACCAGAAGCTGTCACTACTGACAATGGGCCCCAATTCACATCTATCGAGTTTACTGAATTCTTGTGCTGTCAAGGGATTGAACATCGCGTTTCGTCTCTCTGGAATTCTCAAAGCAACGATGAGGTAGAAAGGTTCTACAGGACCACGAAAGAGGGAATCTAGGCATCCATGGCAGATGGAAAATCGTTCACCGAAGGAGTTCGAACGACACTCTGCAACTATTGTGCTACTAAACATACTCTCACGGGAACATCTCCAGCGGAGTTAATGATTAGCCGAAAGCTTATTTCGCCGTTGGATATTCTGAAGCCCCCCTCAAACCCCTCAACACGCGGCTACCCCTTCGAAGGCTGAATACGTAGCCACTACGCAGAAAGCACTGAAATCGTACGTGGATACTAAACGTAAAGCAAAGCTTCCTAAGTTCGATGTTGGTCATTGGGTTAGAGTGAAAGAAACCAGTTCACGGTCACAAGTTGAGGCCTGTCCTTACAGAACCATTAGAAATCGTGAAGCGCATTGGTCCTTAACTTTTCAGCTACGAGATGGCACCAAATGGAATGGTCGTCGGTTGGTTCATGTATTCAAAGTTCCAGTTCCGAGTCCCGACACCGGAAAGTTCATCCAAGACGCTCCAATTAGTTTCGAGCCAGATCAGTATCTGAATCAACCTCAGACGAACCATGATTTTACTCATCAGTTCGTGCCTGATCTGGAGCTTAACAGTTCATGTGTTGCTGTTACACGTCCCCAGTGTGACGTCTTCCTGTTGGACTTAGGGATCATGATCTCAATTTCTTTCTACTTAATGTAGGAGCTTAGCTTTCCTCGTGAGAAGGGAAAATGTAGCATAGCTGTCCAGGTGTGACTATTTGTCAAGTACTTGTCAAATAGTTGTTACAATGTAATTACGTATGCTAACGCGGAGACAATAATTAAGGCGAGGCGTGCACTGAATACGGGACTTATGTATGTAGATTATATGTCGTAAGTTGTCTTGTAATTTCCTGGATATGAAATTTGTGTGTTTGGATGCCACAAATGCCCCATCAAGATGGATCTTCCTTGGGCGGACAATTCTCCGAACCCCCATTTGAATAAGTGCTGGATCCTCCCCAGCATTTTTGTCGACTTTGAGCTGAAGCGATTATTTCAGTTTAATTATTTTCTGCCCAGTTTTGATTTAATCAGCTCTCTCAAGTCCCCTGCTACCCAAAAAGGACAGACTATTTAGAAGTATCATATCAAGCCTTACCTGAGAGTCCCCACCCATCGGTTTACACACTATAAAACACTGGTCAGCCGCAGAAACCATGGCATTGAAATTTTGTCATTTAATTTTGTTTTTGAACAGTGGCGGTGGGCAAAGGTTGGTATTGGGACCCCACAGTACACGATTTGTTATGTCAGTGGCCAACAACCAAATGCCTGGCTCTTTAGTAATCCTGTCACAGTATCAAGCACAGTAACAAAGGTCGATATTACCGTTTTATTCAATACAAGGAACTGTACAGTAATTGGTGGAGATAATTTCTGTAAAGAATATTTCGACTTTTATATGCATCAGTCTACGACTCTAACAGTACCTGACCCTTCACGGAACAATGCCACTTACGAAAAAATTGCTAAAGTGACTGCGCCGATCCTTGGCATTGATATGAGTGCTACGGTAACAAAAAATTTTGGAGTCAAAGTAAAAGGGAAGTACATTATTCTGGCTTTTCATAACCAAGGTTCCTGTAGCTCTATTCATTTTGTCTCTGTCAGTTATTACTTCTGCCCAGAACTTACTATCATTAGTGACTTGATGTCCTTACCGCGATTTACGGCTCCAGCAATTAATTCTGAGACAGTTGAAGGTAGCTGTGTTACAAATGCCGTCTACTATCAAGGTAGCCTAACTGTGGACTGCCAAAGCGATGGCGTTTGGAACATCAGTTCAGTTAAGGGTAGATGTGTATGCAGAGAGGACATGGAAAATAGGGGAGGAGAATGCATAGGTATTTCACTTGAAAATAAACGACAAAAAGAGCAACAAAGCAACAATGACGGGGTATTTGCCTTTGAACTCTCACCACAACTCTAGAGAGAGCATGTGGACAACATATAAATTTAGTCATGTCTGAAAGTAAGGTTCTAAATGCTTCCTCCTCCGCAAGTCCGATCAATGACCGATTCCCAATGGACAACTTTTGGATTTATCGATTTTTATTTTGTAGTGACAATACGTTTAAATCAATGTTTATTTTCTCAGGGTATTTTGTGTCCCGAACTAAGTTACTGCTAAGCTTAAACACAATAACAGGGAAACATATGATTTCTATGTCATTTTGCCATAATAATGTTAATGTGGCCGGAAATACTCTAAAATCTAACCAATAACTGTTTAATCAATGAAGTGCCTTAATGTATTTAGATTGAATTTTGGATCATTGTACACAGATATAACTAAAACGTCATTTGAAATCAATAGGTCCTTTCTTTTATAGTCTTTTGAAAGGTGACTGGTTAGGACGATAATGACTAGAATATTGCTTTCACTAAGGACGATGGCTTTGTTAAGGTCATTAGATACTGTACAGGGAAAACTTTAAACGCTTGAGTGAGGCTTACCAAACGTATTCATCTTTCGTTGAGATTGACGAAAACTTTAAAACGACTTTATCGATAAATTGATCTTATTTCCTACTCCAGTTTGCCCAGAAGGAAAATACAACGACCAGAATGGCTTTAATTGCACAGGTAAGGACGCAGATGTTATATGATGTTGTAACCCTGGTTTTCGTTTATTCTTTTCTGTTGGAGAGTACAATGGGTGCATGGATCAGTAATTACCCTTTCTGCTAAATGAGCAATTGCAAAATAAAACAAAAAATGAAATAAATCACATCTGTAAACCTAAAGCACCCTAAAAACAACGAATGTTTCGTAATGTTTTACTCAAAACTTGTTCAAACTGACATATACAGTGTAGGGAAAACGTTGAAATATTTCAAGAAAAGATGTGTTGATGGTATGCACTGCTGCTTTTTACAATAGCTGGCCCATATTTATACCATTTCAACTTTGTTGATATATCCAAATTATTTCGTTACCCCCACCGAAGCAGCCCCAAACAGTTTCTTTAGAAACTATCAGCCTTTATTCATTCATATTTATACATGGTGCCTCACTTAATTATGGCAGTTTTCTGGGACGTGAATTCTAAAACAAACAGTCTCAAAAAGAATCTTAAAGGACTTTTAAAGGAAGTTAGATCCCCTCATCAGAACTTCTAATAGGTACGTGTATGTTCAGTCATACCATCAGGCCCGCAAAATATTCAAGCTATCTTCGTTAACAGAAGCGCGTTGGCGTTACAATGGCAGCCTCCTACAGTGACCGGTGATCAAACCCAGGTGATTTATGACCTCGACTGTCATAGGCCGTGCGAAGGTGAAAGTGACAACAAGTGTGTCTATAAAGCTTGCGGGAATAACGTCATCTTCACACCGAGAAAGGACAGCTTGAATATCACTCACGTTACTATTGAAAATTTATTTCCATTTATAAACTACACCATAAAAATCTACGCGAGGAACCGGGTGAGCGATTTGGCAAAAAGAAAATATGGAATTGAGGCAAACCTCACTGAAATAACTGTAAGGACCAATAGATCAGGTCAGTGAATGCGTGGAATGAATATATTGTGTGATATTCTGGTAAAACGTTCATAGATGCTACATGAATACTTTTGAGATACTGAGATACATATGATCTAGTGCTTTCCTCTGGAATCACCAAGGTCATAAGACCCACAGCTAAACAAAATTCATACCTTACTGCAGTTAATGTTAGCTACCTATTGTTATTTATTTTCATGGAGCTTAATTTGTGCGATTGTCTAAAACATCGCCGAATGGAAGACCCGCGTAATAACAATTTTTGCAAAACTTAACCACTCAAAATTTAATACACTTGAGTAACAGTGTGGTAAAGCGCTACGTTACCATAAGAGGGGACAAAGCAGGCGTTGTTGGGGCAACAAAGGGTGATTCAGCTCTTTGTCCCTAGGATCCATGTGAAGAAATTGTCAATGTCCTTCAGCTGTAGCGTAAATGAACGATACCAGGTACCCTGGCATAGCTTTGTTGCAAAGGAACATTTCAAACTTTTTTCAGTTTCGTTTGTTATTATGTGGTCTTGTTCAGTGTCATTGGAACAATTATTATGAGATTAACTGCTTTTCGATGAAGATCAGCATTTTGACTCTTTCCCCGAAATCTAGTTTCTTTTCATGCATATTTCTGGCCAAAAAACCAAATCATGCGAAATTCAGTTTTTGCGAAAGTAAGTAACAATAAAGGAGATGACGGAAGTTCACGACGGTGTATCCATCTTTGTTGAAAAACTAGTTCCAGGTAAACCGGAAGTCTTTGTTGAACAACCAGAAACGGTTGTTTTTGTATCTTGGACACTGACGGAAAAGAACGGGATCATTGAGGAGTACTTTGTGACCTATGTAAGAGAGGATGATTTGTCAGAAACCCAGACTATCGCCACCCGGAAAATGGAAGCGCACTTTGAGTTAATGGCCGGAAAAACTTATGAATTACAGGTGGACAGAATTGATTACTCAAGTGTAAATTAGATTCAAATTGTTAAAAGTAACGGCAGGGAATGCAGGTTTAAAAAAGGAAAATTATATCATCGCACTGAGTGATATAAAGTAGTTGGATAAAATTAACTTTGCAAAAAAAAAAGGGAATTCAATTATGATTCAGATGGTTAACGTCGAATTACGGTCAATAGGGCTAAAGCTAAGAATTTTAAAAGGTTCCTGAAACACGAGGTTTTTTTTCATCTTTAAGTGTTTTGATACAGTAAAAACACTCCTCAGGTGTAGAGTAAACAATAGTGAAGAACACAGTGGCAGAAAAAGAATGTCCATTGGTTATAATGCGACATGTACTGGCAGTAACAAAAAAGACATAGATCTGTAATGTAAGGTGGTTCAGTTGGAGGAGATTCTTCTCCCTTCCTCCACAGTAAAGACTCCTCCAGTTTAACAACGCTCAAAGAAGCTACTTTTTTTGCTCTTACAAAGAAATCTCCTAGAACACTTTTCGATTTTTTCTCCTTAGGTATTTGCTATAAACGACTTTGGTAGGGGTCCTGCTGGTGTGAAGACGTTCACACTGAGAGAGGGTTAGTTTTTACATCGTTAATACGCCAATCTACCCATAGAACTGACATAATTGCTAAGCTACAGTAACATCAACCAAGCCTAGTCGAAGACCACTTTGAGCGGACGTTGTCACGAGGCAGTGTTTCAGTTTATGAGAAGAAAACTTTAAAGTGATTGTGCCTGTGTCATAAAGACTTTAGAATAAACTATCAGGAACACTAATTGGTTGGGATGGTGAGAATTAACAGGTATATTAAAAGACAAACTATGCATACGGCATAGATATTGCTATAAAGTCATATCTGGTATGTTTTGATCAGCTTTACTGTCACGGTAATAAATGAAACATTCCTCCCATTCACTCAGCAGAACCCAATGTGACCATGTATCTCAAAATCATCTATGGATTGGTTGTTTTATTGGCACTTTGCATTTTGTCTTTCGCCTGTTACATCACCTACAACAGGTCAGTGTGAAAACATAAATAAAACATCAATGAAATTCAACATGAGGTTACTACTCCTGTCCAGTACATGTATTCCCAGTAGAGCTGCAAACGTCTTCGAATTATTTCAAAAAATAAGGAATACAGTACCATAAGCTCAAGGAATGTCCGACAAGTTCAACAAGCATCAGTAGACTGAACATTGAAAGTGCTAGTACTGACGCGTTTTTATTGCGGTTTAAAAAGTTTTTGATGCTTCTTTTTCTTTTAACTATACCCAAAAAATAATTTTGTGGTGGCATAACCAATTTAACATCTTGTTATTTTTTATCAGATGGAACCGTCGAAGAAATGCAAACCGTGGGAACATTCCTAAAACAACAAAATTCAGTGTTATGGTTTATGAGAGTAAGCTGCAATATTATGTAATTTCAAGAGGAAATAATGGGAACTGGTCATTGAAATATTTTAAAGTTTTTGTTTCTGTTTAATTTTTTTTTAACTAATTCAATCAACTAATGCAGTGTTACTATGTCTCACGATACTTTGCTGACGTTGCACTTGATATGGAAGTTACCTTATTATTATTAATTGTTATCACTAACAAACTTACATAGACGTCTCAATGAGTTCTGTCGCTGAAAGGAAAAAAGTGGACGAATTTAGACTTGACCGTGATCAAATAACAACAGTGAAGGTGCTCGGAAGTGGCAACTTTGGTCAGGTATCCAAAGCCGTCTACAAGCCTTTAAAAGCTGAAGTGGCTGTTAAGTCATTGAAAGGTACATTTCTTTTTTCTAGCACTTCGTCATATTGCCTTGTTAAAGACGAAAACATTTCTTGAATTGAAGTCTAACTCACTAAATGGCTATCTACTTTCTTGTCTTACAAACTCACGAATTCATTCCTCGTTCAAAACCGAGGAAAATAAGCTACAAATCTCTGGAAGGTACTATTTACTTTTACGGGAAAGACAAAAAATTCTAACTCTCTCACTAGTACAGAACTTTTTTCTCTTTCCAAGCCAATTATTCCTTTCTCGTTCAGAAGCATTTAGGCATGTAAAGTACTGGATGTAAAAAGGTTTACTTTCAAACTTACGGTAATTGCTGACGTTTGAATTTCTATCCATCTTCTAGACAATGCCAAAAAGAAGGACTTGCAAGACATGCTGACTGAATTAGATCTAATGAAAACAATGAGGCCTCATCCTCATGTTGTTAAACTCATCGGCTGTTGCATTGAGAAAGGTATTGCACAATTTGGTTGATTCGGCTTGGCTGATTTCTTGATGACTGACTAATTCAATAATTCATTGATTGGCTAACTCATTGGACCTTTTACGTGATTCTAGATCCACCCCTTATAGTGTTGGAGTATTTACCATATGGGGATTTATTGGGATACCTGCGCAAAAGCAGAGGAATCGAGGATACTTATAACACAGGAGAAAAAAGACCAAGCTCGACACTCACGGAGAAGGACCTTTTGTCCTTTGCATGGATGATCGCTGATGGTATGAGCTATTTGTCAACAATGAAGGTAAAAACTACCATTTGTATGCCGTTACATCTCAGAACGGTCTTGTGTGATATGAAAAGTAATGTCTTATATAACAAACCTTTACAATGTAACTTTCTTCAATCGTTCTATGAGGAATGGTTTCGAATCATATCTTGGTCTGTTACGTTTGTTGTCGCTCTGAAAGAGGCTGCAGTACCAGCCAAAACAAGGAATGTAAAGCAAGATGAAAAAGTGTTTTTATGAATAAATCTCGGGGTGTCAAGGTTGTGTTATTGTTCAATGTTTCAGATTGTTCATCGTGATTTAGCGGCTCGCAATGTTTTAGTTGGGGACAACAAAGTGTGTAAGATTTCAGACCTTGGTTTAGCGCGTGGTTTGCAAGGAGATATATACACCAGAAAAAGTCAGGTGATTCACAAAAACATGTCAATATAACTACAATGTCTTACGCCACCGATCATTATTCTTTCATTTATTTGTTTACTAAATGACGAAAACGTTGCTTATCATATTCAGTTTTCTCTCGTTTAGAATCATTTTCGAGCTTTATGTGATTATTTTTTTCAAGGCTCGTCTTCCAGCCAAGTGGATGCCCCCAGAATCCCTTTTGTATGGCAAATCTACCACTATGAGCGACATGTACGTTGTTTCAATTTAAAACTTCAAGTCAACTGCCGTTCAGCCTGTAGAAATAAGGTTTAAGTACCAATACTTTGATTACCAAAACTGCCTGAGCGATTAGGAAAAATGCGCTTGCGTGAATAGTATTATCGGAAGAAATAGAACAGTTTTCAATTGTTTGTCGATAACTTTTATTTATTTTCTCTCTCTGCTTGGTCCAGGAAGGTCGCGCCATTTTCTAAACAAAATTTCAAAATTAAAACTAGTTGCAACGTGGTAATTAGCAGAGGTAGTTTGCTTTTTTTTTTTTTAATTTTGAGTTCTCATGGCTCCACGTGATATTTTTCTTGGCTCTGATTGAAAAATGAAAAAGGTTATCGATTAAAATTGCCACTCCCTTTCTGTTTTGAACAGATGGTCATACGGCATATTAATGTGGGAGGTGTTTACCATTGGTATGTGGATTGAAGTGAAGTTACCTTTTTTTGTACCTTGAAACGAGAAAATTGCCGCCTATTTTGCTCCCTCTCGCTTACGTCTTGATCCCTGACTAGTATTGTACTTTCTATGAATCAAGACATATCATCACTACTGATGCGCATAACAACAAAATTTGTGTATAAGGGTTTCCAAATATTCAGCCAAAACGTATCGAACTCACTAAGACCTTTTAAGACGATCAAGACACAACCGCCCTAGTGAGTTCCATATAAAATATATCATAAATGAAAAATCTACGCGTGTCTTATTGGCTGAAAATAAGTGCATTTTTCTTCTAACACGAGTGGAAAGTTGTAATACAAGTACAAATTACAAATAACATGCCCCCGCGGGCTGTTAAAATTTCTTACCTCTTGACTTTCTGTCAAGCTTTTTTTCCTGTCAATTTTTAACACTGAACGTGATTCCTCGGACTATTTTGGTGTAATAAGCACTTGTAAAATTTTCAGAATACGTATTGCAATTTTGTTGTCTCTGAAAATTTTTTCTCTTGCTTGTTACAACAAATTTCACTCGAAATCATGCTGTTACCTGAACTATAGCTAGTTGCTAGGATTCCCTAAAATTAAAGAGGTTAAAGATGTACTGTCATCGAATTATAAACCGCTTTCGTAAATGACTAATTAGAAGGGGGAATGAGAATCACCGAGATCAGTGGATTCCATTAGCCTGATCATTGAGGAAGATTTCGTAATTTTCCAACCAAAGAAGGACCCTCCTGGCTTTAAAACGGGGCTAGTGATGGTACAGTGTAGGTTCTTAAGAACACTTCACATGCTATTCTTTAATTAATTGGCAAACAACGCCATGTATTATTTTCAGGTGAATCGCCATATCCCGGGGTGAAATCTAGAGAAATAGCTGGCTTACTGCAGACAGGATACCGCATGCCTAAGCCACCTCACATCTCACAAGAACTGTAAGTGGTTTAAGAGCTCTTTCATCTCTCCTTTTACGAATCAGTACCTCGAAAAACGGCACAGATAATAACTAGGTATTTCACAATTCACTTTCAAACGAACTATACGAAAACCGTGGATTGAAAGTTATATAATAATATTGAACTTTGTTCAAGTGTCAGGGTATTTAGCTATATATTAGCTAGTTGTGGACAATAAAAGACATTCCAAATACAAAGTAAGAACGATTAAAGTAGGGATGGTTAGGGTGTTAAAAATCTATTTCAAATTAAAAAGCATTCATTTTAAAAAACTGATGCAGTGTAAATGAAAAACTTACGAATTTATAATTGTGCTGTTAAAAGTCAATTGGTAAAATTCCATTCCAAACGTGGTTAGTTGATACAGAAGTTACAATTGATGCACGTGCCCTCAATAAAAGAAGTCAATTCTTTCTCTTTGATTTTCGATCTAAAATTATCCAGCGAGGGTCGCTGTCGATCACTTGAGGATAGTCTGAACCAGAGGTATAGGCCCAAGTAGCTAATGGTATGGACTCAGGTAGCTGATAGAGTGTTTTCCATATCTCACTGTTGAGTAGTGAGGTATATCAAAATCTGAGTTTCTTAGGGCGTACCCTCTATTTGCAAGATTGAAAAGTTCACCTATGTAGTCGGGGCCAAACCATTTCATTGTAAATTACGATTACGATCTCTAGCGGAAACCTATTGTAGAGAGAAGGCAAGTTTGCACTGCGTGGGAGATCTTCGTAAGTGTCTGTCTTACAGTTGTAAATTCCTCTTAAGGCGCGTTGTCGCAGTCTCTCTAGCTTTTGTCTCTCAGACTGCTTACAAAAATGCCATACAGTTTGGCAATACGTCAGGTGAGAAAGATTTGCTGTAAGGCACAGTTAAAACTTGGTCTTACATGGGATTAGATTACGCAGTCTTTCAAGCACCCCTATTTTCCTGCTCGCTTTTTCACAGCTGTCGCTAATGTGTTCAGTGTTCAGTATGCAATACAATTGCGATTCTTATTTCAGGTACTCCATTATGACCAATTGCTGGGAAGAGCAACCAAAAAGCAGACCAACATTTCCGTGGCTCTGCTCGGCAATCGAACGATTATTGAACGATTTTAAGGTTTGTCTTTCAGTCATCCTTAAACATATCCTTTTTCACTGGTTTTTTTTTTTTTCTTCTCTTTGTGCTGTATTTTTCTTACTATAGTACTTTTTTTTTGCTCTAATCTTTGTTTGAGAAAATAGTTTTTAAGAACTTTCATTCTTTAGACTTGAAATTTGCAGCTATACAAGTGTAAGGGGCTTCTTAGGTCATAAAAATGTGGAAGGGGGGAACGGAAATGGTATGTTACATTTTGGTAAAGGATACGACGGGTCATACTCGTATCACACAGTTCAATCAGACAGTTCTGCTTTCTTTCTTGATACTCTTATCTCAGCGGGCTCGCCCTTTTCAAATTTTGGAGTTATACCTCAATTTGTCAGCTTAATTTCGCTTTCTCTAGGACTATTTTTTTTCGAATCTAGGTATCCTTCCCCAAAGATTTAACCCTGTATCCTCGCACTTTCGTGTTCATTAGTATCCCTGCCAAATATGATGAGCAACGAGGAAAGCGTAAATGAAAATAAAGATTTTAACCATTAGACGATAGACGATGAGGTCTTTCCTTGGTAAAAGTTCAAAATAGACTGATAACTATGAGAACATAAGCTAAACTTGGTCTACGGACTTAGGACGAAACGTAAATTTCCTAAACTTGTTCGGCAAAGAACTCTTTAACTTTTCAGTCATACCAAACAGGTTGTAGTCACAAAGTTTTTTAAGCCCCTAATTCAATTCATCGCATTTCCGAAACCAAACGAATCGAAACAAAACAAAGTGCAACGAACCAATTCAAAGCAAAGCGAAGCAGTAAAAGACAATGGCGGCTGAAACATGCTGTTACCACACTAGCCTTCGACAGACGAATAAAAACCCTTAAAAAGCCAAGACATACAGAATAGGAAATGTAACCTACCATACGAAACAAAAGAAGCGCAATATATAACATTCATTAAAAAAAGGTACAAATACCCAAAAACTAGACTTAGAAACAGACGAGAAGCACGAATAGCGACAATCCTAGTGCTAGGGCAGATCCAGGGGTGGTTCGGGTGGTTTGGTCGAACCCCCTAAATTTTCCCTCCCTGGGAACGCTGGAAATCATGTTTCCGAAGACCTAATTTTCAAAATCTTGAACCCCTCAGAAGGGGAACAGTTTTCCGAACCCCCCTTGACTAAATCCTGGATCCGCCCCAGCAGTGGCCTACCATGTCTCATCTATCTGATCTGTTCTCTAGACATATGTGAACTTGGAAGTCTACGAAGGCCATGATTATATCAACTTTGATGTGACAGACAAAGAGTGATAAAAGATGTTCAATTTCTAGTAAGACTGGAGCGGGGAAGTCCGGTGCATTTAACATAGTTTCAATTACGTTAATCTTTCATCTTGTCTATTGTAAATCGGATAAGATAAGGTATTGTTAAAGATACTGTATTATGAAATTTAAATGGTTTTTCTCGAGATTTCATGAAGAATGGGTTTTTTTTTAATTGGAGGTTCCTTCTGGAAATCTGCTTGGTTACATGCTTCTTGTAATAGCAAGTTGCATAAACATTCAAATGGGAAACACATATAATCGTATTTTGATTTATTTCAGCGTAAGAGCCCCACGTAATTATCTTCTTTCCATAGTTATGATTTTTTCGAAGCTGCATTGTTAGTGCAGTTAGAGTTATAATTTCTGATGTGCTCTTCTATGGCGGGGATAAAAATTAGATGGAAGCCGAAAACGCTGGATTTCATTTTTTCGTAAGTCCTGTATTTCAGTAAAAAGCTTTACCTAAGGAGTAACTGGGCTATGACAAATAAACTTCCCATTAATGTAGAGAAGACAAATGTAATGATCGTGACTGGCAAAAGACTTGAATCCAAGTTAGATTTTCAACCATCAGTGAAGTTTAGTGATCATGGACTAGTGAGAAATGTTTCTAATGCTACTCCGCTGTTGGGTTTGGACATTGATTGTCACCTATCGTTTAGTCAACATGTTGATAAAATTTATAACAAGCTTTCGTAGCGTATAGCGCTTCTCAGAAAAATCAGAGCTTTATCTGCCTCCTAGACAAAGATGATATTACAACTTGATAATTCATCCTATAATTACCTACCCTAGTGTTATCTGCAGCTGGTCATGTTGTGATAAAGAGTCTTTGAACAGAGTATTGAAGCTGCAAAAAAGGGCGGCTAGGGTTATTCTGTCTGCCGATAGAGATTCGCCATCTGTACGTTTATTCAATAAGTTAAAATGGTTCCTTTTTATGAAGAAAATAAGATAAGCTGTTGTTCTTTAGTTTTTAAACTTATTGAATGTACCTTACGTAATTACTTAATTCAAAATTTTACTGTTAATAATCAAGTCCACTCTAGAAATACTAGGTATGCTAAATTTAATTTAGTTTGTCCTAAGTATATATGCGAGACAAAAGGTGGAAAGTCTTTCGTAGTCAGAGCTTGCAGACTGTGGAATAAATTATCTTTAGAATTAAGACGTAAAGATTCTCTTCCTGCATTTAAGAAGAGTCTTTCAATGTAATTTTTAAAGAACAGTGTAGTCTAAATCATTTTACTATTTAGCTTAATATTTACTCTTATTTTTCATTGAGGGCCATAAGTTCATTAGCTTTTAGCTATTTAGTGCGACCCTCTATGAATAAAGTGTTTACTTACTTACTTAGATACTTACTAGTAACGGCAATGATGTCTGGTGTAAATGTACGTGTGCATGTGTTTGACCAAATAAACCAGCCCTCTAGGTATGCAATATCAAGGTGTGCGTCATTATTAACAAATTTCAATCAAAATATTGCAGTTTTTAAAGGCTGCACCGAAAGTCTTCGAGAAGATTTCACTGTGGTTGCAACATGCTTAAACTATACTTAGTCCTAGCGTTTTAATTATGGATACAGTGCTGACTCTGCTCCTGCATTAACTTCTAAAACAACGGTTGTGAATGTTGAAATCAAACTGTGACCATATTTTGGTCTTGAAAATTCTCGATCTGTTACGAGAGTGGAAGAGGCATCATGCTAGTTTAAATGCCTTCCAAAGCCCTTAGGCTACATAATACCCTAAGCACGTCACTTTGGGTAATTTTTAGGTCCTAACAGGTTAAGGATTCTTGCACATCGCGCTAAACCTTTTCGCTCAATGTATTCCTTTTTCCTAAGGAATCTATTGGAAGAGATTTTGGTTGGACCGTCATAAAGTTCTCAATCTATTATTAGTATACGCTATACCATTAAAGGATTGTTTCACTACGTGCCCATAATGTTTATGTATGAGTGCAGACCGACGCTAACACTGGCGTAAGTTTTCATTTATCGAGCATAACGTCAAGGAGTCTAGTACTGTCAGCTGTTTCTTTCTGGCTCGGTTAGCTTATTGAATACAATCTTTAAACGAGCACCTGGATGGTAGACGAATTGTAAATCGCAACTACCGTACAGGTATGTATTAATAATTAACGGGTACACACAATTTGGAACGGAGATAGTCGTTTCATGATTAACCAAAGATATGCGCAGATTCTTTACGGCGAATAACGGCAATTGGTATGTATGTATGTATGTATGTATGTATGTAAATCTTTATTTAAACACGGAAAATCATCAGTTACATAATAAAAACTAAGATTAATTAACTGCTTTACATGATTGCCGTGTGGGAATCCTATATATCGACTACGTTAAGATTTCGCCTAAAATGGTTAATGGATGAAGCATTTTTTAAGTTTTTGGGCAATTTATTCCATAATATGGCCCCGCTGTAAGAGAAGCTTCGTTTCAAATAATTGGTGTTTGGTTTGGACAAGGCCAGCCTTCCCTCAGAGTTTCTTATGTCGTACACAGAGTGACGCTGATAGAAAAGACGTTGTAGATATTCGGGAGCAAGGTTGTTCATAATTTTATACATCATTAGGGCTTTTTGTTTCTCTCGTCGAAGAGATAGCCTCTCCCAATCGAGGGTGGAGAAAAGCTGGTTTAAGCTCGTATCAAAGGGTAATTTAGTAATAATTCTGGCTGCTCGATTCTGTAATTTTTGGAGCTTATCGCTTAAGTAGCCACTTAAACAGTCCCAGACGGGAATGCAGTAATCAAAATGAGGCAATATCAGGTATGCCTGATATTCTGATCAAAACGTGATACATTGGACGATAGGAGCCATTCTTTTGTCTTGATAGCTGGAAATAGGCTCAGTAGCACAGCTGCAGGCAGGGACGATGGGTAAACCTGGGTTGTTAGGTTTATGGATTCCAGGTAAAAAGTAAAAGCAAGAAGTTCTAGCAATGGTGATGGTGAAATTTTTTTGCAGAAGCCGGTACTGGTGTTTTTTACAAGGTTTGGTTAATAGAATTGGACTTGTTTCGACGTTTTCATAAAAAGAGGAGTCAGAAACTGCCGAAAAGCTTCTTTTTGGTAGAGACTGGCCCGCCAAACAACTACTGCACCGCCTTTGATAACATTATCTTTGAGTTCTCTTAGATTTTTTAGTGCCGACCACTCTTCCGGAGAAAGGTTGGAAACTTGGTGTTAAGATTGAATTTAAGCTTGTTAATATCGTGGCATCTTTCAATAAGAAAGTCTCAGAACTGACCATCTGAGGTGAGTGCATTTAGACTTTCGAATGAAGTGTCTCGAAAGTACCTATGTTCGAGGTGTTAGAATCATCCTCTTTGTCATGGAAAAAGGCACCCTGTGCTGCTAACACTCAATTGCTTTTCATTCGGTGACAACTATTACAAACAAACTGTTAGCGTAGCTATGGATACCAAGATCGGATAAACCTGAACTCTACGGTCGCCACATTAAAGACTGTATCGGCGCTACCTCTTCTAACAGGCAGGAGCTTACTCAATTTATAACCGCTGCCAATTCCTCTTACTCGGCTCTAAAATACACCAGGAAATTTCCGACACTTCTTTGGCTTTTTTCAGATCTCAAATATTTCATTGAAGGCGACTGTTTGATGCACTAGTGTGCACTATAAACCTACAGACATATAGTTACTCATTGAATTCATCTTCGCATCCAGCACGTGTGAAAAATTCCATTCCTTTTTCTCAGTTTCATAGACCTCGTCGTTCATGTAGTGACGACTCTGATTTTTCCGACAAAACACCACCACCACCACCACCGTGCCCAACAAATTGATTGACGGTCAGCACTACAAGAGTCACAAAAGGAAAACACCTATTTCACTCAATCCATTCTTACATTTTACCCTCGCAATTACACAACTAAATGAATAATTTTTAAAAATTGTGAATTAATTCATTATGATCCAGAGACTGGTACTATCTTTTTACAACCTCTACTAATTTCATTGACACGCGACAAAAACATAGGCAATTGTTTAGTCAGTGAGTTCAGTAAAACTAATGACCAACCCGGAACTCTCAAATGCGCTCCAGCGTGATGCAAAACCTGTTCTTTCATCATAGCGTCGAGAAAAGATCGGAACCCAAGAGATGTATTAGGATAATAAATTTTATAGGGAAATATCTAAGTTTCAATATTCTTATGCATATGAAATTCACTAATGTGTTTCGGTAATCAAAATTATGGCACTAAGAGACTTTTGGTTTAAAAAGAACGAAAAAGATGAATTTTTTTCACTAATTGTGGTTCTTGAATGCAATCGAAAGACAGATTTCAGAATTCCTCTCTCCTTTCCAAAGTTCTACTCATCACAGATATAGAGGTTTGTGATCTTCGGAAAGAGACTACATCATCGGTATGAGAATAGCGTAATTTGGTTTTATCAACTTAGTTGATAATGTATATGATTGGCCACCGTAAAGGTTCAAGAACTGACGTTTCGAGCGTGAGCCCCTCGTCAGAGCGAAAATGAAATGAGCATGCTTCGATACTAACTTTCTAAAGGCGTGAGGCGCAATGTTACCTTACCAATAGGTTTTTATCAAAACGTCGCAGAGTCGTACGTCTGTTTTCTCAAAAAATTATTTGGGATACGACCTCCTTACGTCATTATACGGCTGCTTCAGGGTGGAAAAGTGGAATCATGAATTATAGCGTTTGAATCAGAAGGAATCTCGAATTTTCGCATGAATTATGAATTACGAGATGTTAAGAATGAATCATAGAAATCGATAATATAGATATGAATCATTGACCGAGATCACAGATTTTGAAGGTCAAATGGTTCCACTTCCAACACGAGGCTATTGCATACACACTAAAATCAAGCGCTTTGTTACATAGATGTATTGCTCAGATACCGACCTGTTTTCTTCATAGGGTATCTATATAAGAGGCTGACAGAAAGGAAGAAGTAGAGCGAGTGGACAATATCAAGGCCGGAAGCTGGTGGATCTCTTGGGGTATGTTCCTTCCGTACAATGATTCTATAGTTAAGATTGCAATCCTAACAATCCATTTCCATTTTGCTTTAAAACATAACCAAATTAAAGCGCGCTCTCTGATTGGTCAATTT